CAAGAAACTGTTGGAATTAGGAAACAAATAAAAATAAGAAACTGAATGGCAATCCCAAAGCATGTTTTTACAAGAAAATGGGGGTACGCAATGAACTGAATAAAGGCTGTAGCCAGTCTGCATAATATAAATATATATAGTAAAGTCCCTTCATGAGGAAATTCTTTTCCACAGGTCACTCTCAATTGTTAGAAAAAGATGTGACAGGAAACGCTCCTGTGCAGTTCCAGCAACAAACAGAGTATTTGGTGACCCATGTGGTGGGACATTCAAGTACCTTGACATAACATACCAATGTGCATAATAACCATAAAGGTAGGAAATAGTAAATTTATTGCTTGTAATCTTAAAGTGGATTCACTTAAAAATGGAAAATTTAATTGTTATTCTATTTGTTTTAAGCTAGGTAACGTTTTACGATAACATCTTCAAACAATACACCAATTCGACTTACAACCTCGTTTTGGAAATTTCTCCAAACTTATTTATACGACTTTTTTAAGCTCAGATATGGTTTTATCGCCATAATTGTAGGCCGAATACAATTTTTTATATTGTTTGAGCTTGTATTTTAGATTTTGCGGAGAAATGAAGTTTCAAAACTTTTAAGGGATTTGACCGCAAAAATCGTTTCGGGGGGAAACTTTACCCCCCTAGTTGCCAATCACGGTCAAATTCCTTATAAAATTTCCATCTTTATGTCGTCATAAAATCAATATCGTGATCAATACCATGATGAAAACTTCCAAGTAGATTTAAATCATTGCTCCCAGCCCGAATCTGAGGTCAAAAATGTTATACAACAGAATTTGAAGAATTTTTCAAAATGAGGCCGTAAGTCGAATTGGTGTATACTTCAATGACGGCCCCTCGAAAATCAGCTCAGATTAAGGCAACATTTCAGAATTTAAGCTATTATTATCAGCTATTAATACAAAAATTGCTAAGAAAACAACAAAAGGGAGAGCAAAGAAATATATTTGTTTTTATGATTTTTTTCCTCAAAAAATACCCAAAATGCAATATCAGAATTAGATTCCAGTATTTACTTCATTATCTCTTTCATTTTTTATGCTTTTCGTTTTTTAGGTTGGGATTACCACAAGATAAGATTTTGTTGTTTTTGCATTCTAAATATTAATCACTTCGCATTCAGACTTTTTAATTGTACTGTGTTTGCCTTGCACTTCACTGTAATTTTTGATACAAATAGCTGAAGAAAAATAAAAATTATTTGTTTTTCTGTCTAAATTTCTCATGCCAAAGACACATCGCTTCTGTTAACCTGTGTGTTTGAACACCATGCCTTTTTAAATAATTTTATATCGAAACATAAACGTGGGCCCAGTTAAAAATATATTTGGATTGCTATATTAAAAATTTAGGAATGGAGACTGTGCTATAGGCAACTCATAGCAGCCACCGTTGTTTGAATTACCTAAGCTGTTTTCAGGGGGCGGCACTTCATACTTTTTGTTGAGAGGGGGGGAGGTGGCTGCATATATGCCCTGAAGAAAAGTTTTGCCTTGGCAAAAGTTGGAAATGTTGGGAACTGACCCTCAGTTCCCGCAACACTAAAGTACTTCTTAAGGTAAGTTGTTCCCGCTTAGGTCCTTGCTCAGTGTGTCCACAAGTTCACCGATGTGTTTGCCTAGCCTTGGGGAGACGAGCAAGAGAAAGTGTTTTAATGAGTGAGGCAACCCTCCATCCTGGATTCAAAGAGTATGCGCTCATTTTTTACAACAAACTTTCGATATACACACTAGCATTTCACAAGATGAGGGTATCGAAGCTTCCCTCAATGCCATCAAAAATCATTATGGGGAAACTACCCTGCTGCATATAAAATGCAACAGACAGTGATTTTTATTCTCAAACATAATTATATTGCCTTTACGCTCTCTTTTGATAAGAACAATTTTATAAGAACACGAGCTTCAAAATTTGTCTAAAGTTGAGAACATATTAAGAACAAGCTGAGGCTGAGTTACTGTAAAATGTAACTTTGAACAATGTTTCATCTCAAAAACGAGAAGTTTTTTGCCATCTTAGGATGCTTCTTCGGTGAAAATTCAAACATGGCGGTAAATGAAGGTTTTCTCCCGCACTTTATTGGCAAATGAGGCCTGGACACCTCCCTAGAGCAAAAAGCTAGCAATCGCACTGCTTATACCCTATAAATTTAAGAACAAAATAAGAACAATTCAGCCTCAGATTTTCGAAAAAATTAAGAACA